TTTTTCTAAGGTTGGGTAGCGGGCTTCAGCACCATCCAAGGTTTTGCTGAAGTAGAAGATCGGCTTCTGCTCCCCACGATCCTCTCGGACTAAAACTCCACTGATTGCTGCGCTAGAGACCGCAACGTAGAGTAGTAGGGTGTCGCCGTATTCAGGTTTAGCCAAGATCGGTGGAGTCGAAAGGTAGGTTTTGAGCTGTACGAATGCGTCTTCGCACTTCTCGTCCCATTCGAATCGCTTGTTCCCTCGTAGGAGTTGATAGAAGGGGAGACACTTGTCTGTCGATCGGGATATGAATCTGTTCAGAGCGGCTATTCTTCCTGTTAGGCGCTGAACTTCGCGGGTAATTCCAAGATCGCAGAGATCTGCTTGGGATTGGCTTCGATGCCACGTTGTGTGACCAAGTAACCGAGGAATTTGCCCGACGTGACTGCGAAGGTGCACTTTGCGGGGTTGAGTTTCATGCCATACTGGTTTAGTATTAGAAAGCATTCTCGCAGATGGATTATGTGATCGGCTGCTTTGGCTGATTTGACGAGCATATCGTCAATGTATACTTCCATTGTCTTCCCAAGCTGGTCGGCGAACATTTTGTTGACCAGGCGCTGGTAAGTGGCTCCAGCGTTTTTCAGGCCGAACGGCATGACCTTGTAGCAGTAGGTGCCTCGATCTGTGATGAATGCGGTTTTCTCGCTGTCGTCCGGATTCATGAGAATCTGGTTATATCCGGAGAATGTATCCATAAAGGAGAGAAGCTCGTTGCCTGCTGTAGCCTCCACGAGCTGGTCGATACGAGGAAGGGGAAAACTGTCCTTCGGGCAAGCTTTGTTGAGGTCGGTGAAATCTACGCAGACCCGCCACTTGCCGTTTTTCTTCTTGACGACCACCGGGTTTGCGAGCCAATCCGGATATTTTACTTCGGCGATTGATCCGGCCTTCAAGAGTTTATCTACTTCGTCGTGGACGGCTTGGGCTCGCTCAGGTCCCAACTTTCGTCGCTTTTGTTTGATCGGCTTGAAGGTCGGGTCGACGTTCAATTCGTGACTCGTTATTCTGGGGCTAATACCCTTCATATCGGCCATAGACCACGCAAACGTTGTGACGTTCTCTTGAAGGAAACTGAACAGCTCGTCCTGCATGCTAGACAATAGTTCCGTGCCGATACCGACGCAACGTTCCGGATGGGCAGGATCGATATTGACTTGGGTGATAAGGTCGCTCTTCGGCTGCTCGTCGTGGTGAACGATCCTTGGGTCGAAGTCGCTACTGCTGCCGATCACGAACGTCGATGCCTTGCGGGCCCGTTTGTTATCGATGTAACAATGTCGGGAAACTGTCTGATCGCCACGGATGGTGATGACACGGCCCCTGATCGGCATCTTGATGCATTGGTGATAAGGAAAAGGGACGGCTCGCATGGCGTTCAGCCATGGTGTTCCGAGAATAGCATTGTAGATTGCAGGTCGGTCAATAACCTCAAACTTGACCGAAATAGACTTCCCGCGTATGGTGACGGGCATCGTTATAGTCCCTATTGTCGAAATTGAGTCGCCAGCGAATCCTGTGAGCGGGGATGGAGCGACTTTTATGTCCCGCTCGGGAATACTCATCTTGCGCAGTGTATCCATGAAGATGAGGTCGACCGAGCTACCGGTGTCGATCAATACTTTGGAGACGTCGTCTTCTCCGAGTCGTAGAGAGATGACGAGTGGATCGTTATGAGGTCGGTCGATATCCTGCGCGTCCTGTTCAGTGAATATGATTGGTAGGTCGTCCTTGAATAGTAGTGGTGCGTCCTTCGGGGGATTCGCTGCCCTCCGCTCGTGCCGTTTAATTGAATTTATCGAGTCTGTGCACGAGAGGAGCCCTCCCATAATCATGTTAATCTGCCGACGTGGCGAGCTTGGGGGTGTGTGATCGTCTTCACGGTCACGCTTTGCTTCCCTGCCCTCGCGTTTAGAAGAGCGGTCGCTGGTATCTTTTCTATCGCGATCGTCATTGGGTCGCCTATCCTCGTCGTTAGATCGTCGTAAACTTCGGGGTTCTGGAAGGGTGATCTCGCCGTCCTCCCATCTCTTCCTCAAGAGGGCTGGGAGGAGGCGGCAATCATCGGTATCATGACCATGCGCCCTATGGTATTTGCACCACGGCTTCCTGCTGTCAGGATCTCTATCGCTCGAACGGTCCCATACGTTCCATGGCTTTTTTGGTTGTCCAACCGTGTTAATGCTCTTGCGGTTCTTGTCATCCCTGTCGTAGTGCTGACGGGGTTCTTTGTAATCTTCCTGACTCGATCTGCCTTTCTTGTCGCGCGAAGATTTCTCATCGGCCAACTTGGCCTTGGCCTTGGCTGCCCGATCCTCTTCGACTCTGATGTATCCTGATGCCTTGTGCAAAGCATCTTCGAGGGTTTTGGTTTTCCCAGTCTTCAATCGTTCACAAAACGATGAATCCTCCTTCAAATTCTTGATAAGAATGTTGAAACACAGTTCGTCCGACAGATTGCATTGGGAGACGATTGCTCGGAACCGATCGATAAAATCACGCAGCGACTCGGTGTCGCCCTGGACGCACGCCCATAGATCGAGCGCTGTAGACTCCGTGTCGATGTAGATCGAGTAATGCTTCAGGAACCGAGCTGTGAGCTCCTTGAAGCTGTCGATGGAGTTCTTGGGGAGCTGTGAGAACCAGGTGAGGGCACTGCCGGAGAGAGTCTCCACGAAGTACTGACAGAGGCATGCTTCCCGTTCCTCGTCGGTGAAGCGAGCACGTCCCATGACGGCGTTGAACGCGGTCAGATGTCGCTTCGGGTCTGTCGTACCGGTGTAACTTGGAGGTAGCTTCATCCGGCCTAAGTCCTTGAGAGGAGCGTCGGTGATGGCCGATGTGAACGGGGTCTGCTGGGTCTCCTGGAGGATCTTCTCCAACTCTGGTGCTGAGGTTGTTGCCTTGTGGATCTTGCTGTGGATATCGTCAAGGCGTTGGTGGAGAAGATCGAGCTCCGAGGTTGTCGTCAGGTCGGTGCCTGTGGTATGGCGCGATGAACGGGCGTTCGAGCCTTCTGCACGTGCTCTCCGCAGGTCGTCTGTCGGTGTCGTGCCGAACAGGTTGTTGACTATCCTGGTCGTGTCTGTGTTGCGGATCGGAGGGCGGGGATGGGTGATTAGATCGGCCTGCTCTCGAGTATGAACCCTAGAGTTGAGAAGCCGATCTAGGTCCTCTCTGTAGGCTATCTGCTTGGCACGGAGGGATTCGAAGCGAGCATCCATCCCCTGCTGTAATTGCTCTGCGACCGACCTGATGATAGTGGCCATATCGATGGGAGGTGGCTGGGGAAGGCTGGTCGTGTTTGAGCCACCTGTATGACCGACCTGATCTGTCTCGACGTTCCACGTGGTAGGTGTGTTGTCCTGATCGGTCTGGTGGCCCATCGGGAGTCCGGTGGTTGGGTCGACGACCAGATCCTGGGTGTTTCTCGTCTGATCGGAGGCTCTTGTGAGGTCGGTAGTGTTGATCGGTGTTTCAACCATCTTCAAACTTCCTTCCAAGTCAAAGATTGCTCTACTAGTCCCCACAGACGGCGCCAACTGTAAAAACTCAAGTTCGACTTATAGAAGAACTAGGGTTTGAGGGTTTTAAGAGATCTTTTATTAGAAGAAGCCGGAGCTTTAGTTGAATACAACGGTGTTTAGGTCGTCGGAATAAGAACGCCGACCTAAAACTTTCAGGGAAGTAAATCAAAAGTCTAGAACAACTCGATTGCTTAGTTTGCTCTAGGTCTTGATCAATGATTTTGGATGGATTGAGAAGTCGAGGACTTCCTATATTTATACCCGATCAGGTCGGTCTTCATCCTGTTCGGAATAGGAAACTCTTGTCGGCAAGAAGTTTCCTTTTTCTCCGGGTCGCTTGATAAATGGAAGCTTTCCTTTTATGTTGCCGACCTGGGATTTGTTTGATAGGCCGACTAGAATTCATATCGGACTTGTTAGAGACGGTACGAATCTCATCTCTAACAGATATGTAACCATATAATATGTGTAGACCCTCCACATAATTTTTTTACTCAATAAGTGGGAATTTTTTTATATTTTTATATAACTACTCAAATTTCGGAAGTTGTCTTACACATTAAGGAAGACTTTAATAAAAAGTAGAAATTAATATAGTTTTAATTATTAATGTTTATGAATGTCTTCCTAAATATCTAAAGTAGGGATGGGCAAACGGGAATATGAGACGGGATTCTGCGGGAATGGGAACGGGACGGAAATATGGGAATCAAAATAATTGTCCCATATGTGTTCCATTCAAAATTTGGGACGGGACGGGAATGGGACGGGATAGGACGGGAATGAGACGGAAATTCCCAAAAAACCTAAAAACACGACAAATTGACAATTGTAGAAAAAAAAATTAAAACTCAATTTATATTCGTCTATTATTCACCTCCTAAATCCTAATAAGTAATAATAACATGTCATATAAGATTATAAATTAACCAAGAAACAAATAAAATTAAATTTAACTTAATTATTAAAATTTAAAAGCTTCAAAGTGAAAGTTGATACTTGTTTGTTTGTTAGGTTATAATTTATAAGTTAGAACTTTAGGGTGCAACTTTTAAGTTTTAACTTTCGTTTATATAAAATAATATATTAATAAATAATAATTATCAGTTTTGGTAATATATTTTAAATATTTAATTTATTATTTATATATAATTCGGGACAAATGGTACTTCGGGAATTCTCATTCCCGTCCCGTCCCATTTCCAAATGGGAATCAATATGTTGTACCATATGGGAAGCACATTCTCATATGATACGGAAATTTGGGATTGAGACTGGGATGAGATGGGATGGGAACCCACTCCTAATCTAAAGATCCTTCCTAAAATTTTGATTTCAGAGGTTTTCTTGTCTTAGCTTGTTTTTTTTTTTCCTATTTATGATTATTGTCTACAATACATAAAAATAACAAAAGATTGAGCTACAAAAATGGTTAAAGTTTGTATTAATCAAGTAAAACAAGGTTTGAGTTCAAGTTAATCTTTATAAAGCTATCCAAACGTTTAAGAAATCTTTTAATATGATTTAGGAAGACTTTCAATATATTTATCATCAGTTTGGTTATTCTAAGTTAAACAGTATACTAATTCAACTATTTGTAATAATTTAGGAAGTTTTCTTACAAATTGAGGAAGACCTTCCTAATTTATTTATTTACTAATTTATAAAGACTTTTTAGAAACTAATGTTGTGGAATCCAATTGTATAAAATGATGGGATTACCAGATAATTATTACTAACTGAATAAAAAAAACAAAAAAAAAAACACAGAAATAAAGTAAAAAGATAAAGAAAAAACTAACAAATACGATTTAGTTTCTCTTTAGATTAAGGAAATATATATAGATTCTCTGCTATTTTAAAATTAGGCAAGGGAGACTTAAAATGGAACAAAAAAAATTCTGCCCTGATTTTTCTTCCCAAAAATCCAGCGAAACTGTAAACTACCAAAGTCGTGGGATCAATAAAAGAGAGAAAATCCTCTCAAAATATATTTTTCACAAAAATGGCGTCGGACACTGAGGCTCACATTCTATCTCAAATCGAGTCCTCCGACCCCGGAGAAGTTCTCTCCTCCGTCTTAACATACCTCCAACCGTTCGTCGGTCTTTTGATATGTCGGGAAGAGGACCGAGCCCTAACCACCCGATCCATCGCGAACCAATTCCTCCCCTTCATCTCCAAATCCATCTCTTCCCTGCATAAACGCCTCTCAGTCACAGTCCCTGCACCCCCCGATGATCTGTTCCGCGCTTACGAGTTCTGTTTGGAATGCTGCGAGTTGGTCTCCCACGATCCTCACGCCGTCCAGCTTCAAAGGCTCGCGCTGATTCGCTGTTACCAACACTGGGGTTGGTTCACTCACGCTTCCAACGACGGCATGAGATTCCTGGAGGGGCTTAGAGCACCCGGGCTCTCGTCAGATATGGGAAAGTGTGCTCTCTCCATTATCAGAGAAGCAGAACGTTTCGACAAGGGTTTTGTGCAATCTTTCTGCAACTCAACACTGAAGGAATATTATAAATCCCCGTTGCCAAAATGTCATTTTTATAAGGTGACTTGTCCAGATTTCACAATCTTTCTCTGTCTCTGTCTGTCTCTTGCGTTGAGCATTGATTGTTCTGTTTTTTTTTTTTTTGTGTATCCAGTTTTCTCGCCAGGTGCTTTCTTTACTGTTTATGTCCAAGGAGACAGAAACATCACAACCCGTTGAAACTGTGATGTCTGTGTTGCGAACTGTGGCATGTGAAATCAAGGTATATGCAAAAGTCTCTTGTCACTGTTAGGACAGTATGTCTCTTTTTGTTTCTTGTCCCTTACTGCTCCTCATACCCGCAATTTCAGGTTGAACCTGGAGCAAATTGGTTGGAGTTTCTTGACTTAGTCTCCTATTGTGTTCATGAGTCTCTGTTAGCAGGAGACGTATGGTGTGCAGGAGTTTCGAAACAGTTGAGTGAGATTGCATCTAATTACTATAACTATAAGGTATCGATCTTTTTGTCTCCTCTTTCTCTCTCTCTCTCTCTCTCTCTCTCTCTCTCTCTCTCTCTCATATTGGTTAATGAAAATAGGATTTTGATTGATAGCTCTGAGTACTTGGCAGGCTATACCACAAGCTAATCTGATTCTAAGACTTTATTCAGCTGGACTCCCCGTACATGTGTTTGATGTTAAGCTGAGAAAAAATTGTTAGAAAAAAGTTGAGGCTTGAAGCTTTACTTGGTGACGATGAGATATGGAATAGCTCAGTTTCTTTATGGGGTTTGATTCAGCATTACCACAAAGACGCCGTGGAATACACGCCACCTTACCTTGATGCTCTGAAATTTTTGTGCCAGCCTCTTGCTAGTTTGATAAATTCCGAGAAGAAAAAGATGGTGCCGGGAAGAGTATTAACATGTTATACTGCTCATCTATCTGTTATACAGGATATATTTCTCCAATTTTGTCATGGTTTACGTGAATTTCAGAGGTACATACATACATATATATGAATCGTGTATTCTTTGAGTTGAATGTTTTGCTTACCTTTCGTTTCCATTTTTGCGAGATGGACCCATCACAAGGAATGTAGTGGGACTGACTTTAACAAGACTCTGCTAAACGTGGCTATGGCTGCTTCTTTCATTTCGATGAGAACCCAATATAGAGTAGAGGTTAAATACTTGCTTACCATTCTCACAAATCAAGTGGAAGCTTTGTTCAAACTCTTCTTTTTGCAAGAATGTCTCAAAGTTTTTTTTTTATTTTTATTTGATTTTATGTTTTCAGATCACCGGCCGTCTAGTTGAAGATGTAATTGCTAGTCCGTGGATTTCACCTCCAGACCTTAAATATCTATTAGCTTCATTTCACGATATCGGTGTAGCTTTCTACAGTATGAAGAACCTTGGAAAGGTACTAGCACACGCCTCTTTTTAACCTTTAGATTCTGTTTCTTGCTCTACAAGGTTTTTTGCCGCCTAGTCTATTTTCATATTGATGGTGTGTACTTTTCAGGCTTCCTTGGCGTTCAAGATATGTATTAGAACAGTGTGGACTTGTGTTAGACTCCTCTGTCAGATACATGTAAAAAATGAGCGTAAACCATCCGAGGAGTGTCTCTCCAGAGAAGCAATTATCGATTTTGCGAGTAAAGCATGTGGCAAATCTGCATTTTATCTGGATGTTCTCCAGCAACATGGTGCACCAGAAATCAACAAGTTGCTTGTGTTTATCCTGGAGAACTGGTCTGCAGCTGAAGCGCTCATCAAAAATTTGCCAGACCCTACACCGATAGCAAAACAATATGTTAAGGTAAACTGTTTTGTTTCTCTGCATATCTTAAAAAGTATCTTCTCTTATAATCTATTTAAATGCTTCTGATCGCGTCTTATCATTAGATACAGACACAACGCAGAGATCATGAGATTCAGAAAGAAGAAAAAGACTTGAAGCAAACTGGGTTTTAAAAAGCGCGACTTTTTAGTGCCATGGCGCAAGGCGCACCTCTACATTCTCGTGTTACTTCCAACTTCTTCACAAATGTTATTGCTTTGATCACTATAGACTTGAGTTTTGTTTTGATCATCTTTTACTCTTCAGTTATCTATCATCAAAAATTATCAATTCTCATGGCAAAGTATACAACATTAGACAAGGGCATATATGCGAGTAAAAGATTATCACAGTAACTTAAAACAAAGTTTTTAAGATTTCATTGGATATATACAATCTGGAATGACCGGTTGGGTGCAAGGATAGGCAAATACCACTGGTTTATTCTATGAGTTGGACAATGTTTTTTGCATCAAGCAATACTGTTTTAATGATTCTTGTTTACATGAGCGAGTGTTGAAGTGTAAGCCTGCATCGTATGTTTGCATCTTTTTAAAGTAGTTTTAAACATTTGTCAATTATTTGCGTAAACACTTGCTTTATTTTGTATATACAAAATTTGTTTTTGATTTTTTTGATAAAGAAAATATTTTATAAAAAGGGCCGATCTTGAGATTTTGTGGGCTCGAGACCAGTTACAAAATATGGGTCATAATTAGGTTAATTTGTTAATTATTTGTGGATTCTTTCTTAATGAATTGGGCTTTATATAAATTTTGTTGGATTTGTAGTAACAACCCATAAAACATTAGTTAAAAATAAAATTGAAATCAGCCACTGAAAAATAGGGGCCAAGCCAGGGACGGTCCGGACAAAAAGGAAAAGTCAATCTTTAGGCATGTGAACTTCCCTAAGCAGCTAAGCCTAATGAATACTATGCTTAGCTGTTTTATACTTTAATCAATCATGATTGGCTAGTTAATTCTGATTCTTACATACATTTTGAACATACCATAAAATCTCTATAAATTAATAATGTTAACTTCACAATTTTATTAATTTATAGAATTATTAATTAAAAGAAATACTTTTGGTTCAAAATTTTATTAATTTATGAGTTCTCTCTCTACTATCTTTTTGAGAAAGAGAAACAATTTTCCAGCATAGTCCGGATCTTTTGTAGGATATTATTTTCATTTATTAGATGATACTAGGTATTTACCTGCGCTACACTACGAGATATTTTTCTAAATTTTGTATATATTTTTAATATAATAAAATTATATTTATAATATAAATAAGTATTGTATTTATTTTTTATCAGCTAAAGTTATGTATTTATATGTTTTAAATCTGATAAATATTGTATATTTTTTATTTTTCAAAATTATAATTTGCTATTAAATTTGTTTAGCTAACTAATTATAAATGTATATGAAAGAATAAAACAATACATTTTTAGTACCTTTATGCTAATGATAAATATAATCTATTTTCTCCAATAAATTGCCACTTGATACTCCTTTGTAATTATATAAAGCAAAGTGTCATTTTTAAAAAAGTTTTATTAATTAATATGATTATCAAGAATTATAAAATTTATTTATTATCAAATATTTATTATAAATATATATTTCTAAAACTACCAAACTATAATAAAAAACATTCATATCAAAATCATTGCTATTGCTTTAGAACTAAACAGAAAATTCTGTTTGAACTCTTGAAATAACGTTTTAGTTAAAGTTAAATAATTAAATTTTGGTTATTGTAACATACTTTAATTTGGAAATTTAGCATCGAAAAATTTCATCTTCTTACAAAAACCGAGAAATCGCATTTCTCGTCAAAACCAAAAAAAATTATTTTTCTATGAAACTGAGAAATCGCATATTCCCGTCAAAACCAAAAAAAAAATTATTTTCTCGTCAAACTTAAAACCTAAAATTTATTTTTCCGCAAAAACTTGTGTTTTCCGCCAAACCGAGAAATCACGTTTTTTCACTAAAACAAAAAAAATTTCATCTTCTTGCCAAAAAAAAAAAAATCGTATTTTTCCATCAAAACCAAAAAAATTATTTTCCTGCAAAAACTGAGAAATTGTCTATTCCGCCAAAACCAAAAAATTTATTTTCTCGTCAAACCAAGAATCACGCTTTCCTACCAAAACAGATAAATTACAATTTCCCGCAAAAACTAAAAATTGCATTATCTCCCAAGAAATTGTGTTTTCCCGCGAAAACTAAGAAATTGTATTTTCCCGCAAAAGCCAAAAAATCACATTATTCATCAAAAACTGAAAAATTGCATTTCCCATCTAAACCGAGAAATTGCTTATTCCCGCTAAAACCTAGAAATTTTGTTTTCCCATCAAACCGAGAAATTGCATTTTCCTCCAAAATTATTAAATTGCAATTTTCCGTGAAAAGTAATAAATCACATTTTTGCGTAAAAACCAAGAAATCGGTTAAAAGTCGAATATTTACATTTCCTATCAAAACTGAGAAATCACATTTTTGTCAAAATCTAAAAGTTGCATTTCGCATCAAAACCGAACATCGCATTTTCCCGTCAAAACTAAGATATTTTTTTCCCCGTCAAAATCAATTTTTTTTTCTCAACAAAACCAAGAATTCACATTTTCCCGCAAAACCTGAGAATTTGATTTTTCAGTCATACCCGAGAAATTATGTTTTGCTACCAAAACTGAAAATCACATTTTCCTACCGAAATCAAGAAATTTTAGAGATTGAGCTGAATGAATCTTTATTATTGATGTAGAGTAGTATATATACAGAGGTACAAGTAGGGTAAATCGATATACATAGAAGGCATATATACGTAAGATATAATCTTTCCTTAACACACCCCCTCAAGATGGAGGAACTCTATGAACTCCAATCTTGGACCTGAGCTCTTGGAAGCGTGCACGAGCCAATGGTTTTGTGAGTCCATCGGAGAGTTGATCTTTCGTAGTGACATGCGTGACACGGAGAAGACGCTTCTGTATTTGACCTCTAACAAAGTGATAGTCGATAGCAATATGCTTCATGCGTGAGTGGAAGACAGGGTTGGCACACAGATATGTTGCGCCAATGTTGTCACAGTAAACCGTTGGTACATTTGGCAAATTGACACCGAGTTCAGTGAGCAACGAGCAAATCCATCGAAGCTCAGAAGCAGTATTAGCGACAGCTCTGTATTCGGCTTCAGTCGAGGATCGAGCAACTCCTTGTTGCTTCTTGGAAGACCAGGAAATCGGTTGGCTGCCAAGATAGATAACGTTGGCATTGGTTGAGACATAATCGTCTGTGTCACCTGCCCAGTCGGCATCAGAAAAAGCATGAAGTGGAGGAGATTGTTGCTTGCGCAGAAAAAATACCATGACTGAGAGTGCCCGAGAGGTAGCACAGCACTCTTTTGACAGCCTGCCAGTGTTCTGTTGTGGGTTTATGCATAAACTGTGAGAGTCTGTTGACAGCATAGGAGACATCTGGTCTCGTAAGAGCTAGGTATTGCAGGCTACCAACAATTCGCCTATATTCATGCGGGTCTGGTAAAGGCTCCCCTGAAGTAAGTGTTAGCTTGGGTGAAGAAGCTAAAGGGGTCGCCACTGTTTTAGCCTGCAACATATTTGTTCAAGTCTGCAGATCAGTAATATATTTGCGCTGCATCAAGTGTAACCCCTGCGGTGTCCGGATAGTTTCAGTGCCAAGGAAGTAGCTTAGGTGACCCATATCCTTGATGGAGAATTTTGTTGCAATGCTCGTGATGACTCGCTGAACCAGATCATGATTAGTACCCGTGACCAGTATGTCATCGACATATACTAACAAGTAGACAAACTCTTTCTGATGTTTGAAAATGAATAGCGAGGCATCAGATAAAGAATTACGAAAACCTACAGTCTCCAGAAATGACTTCAGTTCAGAGTACCAGGCTCTCGGAGCTTGCTTAAGGCCGTAAATGGCTTTCTTCAACCGGCAGACATGTGTAGGATTATCTGCATCAACAAAACCAGGCGGCTGACACATAAAGACCTCCTCTTGTAAGTTCCCTTGCAGAAATGCATTATTAACATCAAGTTGGCGAACTGGCCAATCACAATTCACAGCCAAACCAAGAACAATACGAATCGTAGTTGACTTTATTACCGGACTGAATGTCTCCGTGAAATTAACTTCGGGTTGCTGATGGAAGCCTTTGGCGACAATCCTGGATTTGTAGCAATCAATAGTGCCATCCAGGTTGTATTTGATGGTGAAGACCCAGCGACAACCCACAACATTCATCTTCTCAATAACAGCCTGGAGGTTCCAGGTGAAATTTCGAACTGTAGAGTTAAATTCGGCAGCTATTGCAGCACGCCATCGGGGATCTTTTATCGCTTGCTGCCAGGTCGTGGGAATCCAGTGAGGATCCTGTTGAAGGGAAGCATTATTGGCCTTCTTCTTTGAGGGTTTTTCGATGAGATTTTTAGACCGTGTAGTCATCGGGTGAGTCACCGGATGTGGCTTCGATTTCCGGGGACGGCGGCCGTAGGTGTGAGTTATCGGAGGTCGAGTTGTTGGATTTGGTGCTGGAGCGATAATGGGCTGACTCTGTTGTTGAATTTGGGCATGAGTGTCTATTGGGCCCAAAGGTGGATTTGTTGGAAACCCACGAGATGGAGCAGCTTCTCCATCGATTGAATCTGGTACAGCAACATCAGTTGTAGAGAGTGGCACCTGTGAAGGGACAGAGCTCGAGGGTCCAGAGCATGAAGGAAACGATCGCGACCCGAGGAGTAGCACAGTAGCAGGAACCATTGTATACGGGGGGAGAGAAGAAGTGGGTGTTTCTGCAGGTGCAAGTGTTTGGTTGTGGAGAAGCGAGTGAAAGGGGAACTAGGTTTCATTGAATCGAACATGTCCAGAGACATAGACAGGTCCAGAGAGGGGTTCAAGGCATTGATATGCACTTTGTGTCAGGGAGTAACCAATGAGTACACACGGCACTGAGCGATTTTGGAGTTTATCGGGAGCATATGGTCGAAGCCATGGAAAGGAGTGGGCATATATAACCAAACCCGAAAATCCAAACCGAATCGACCTGAAAAAATCCGAACCGAACCGACCCGGTATTGCTTTAATAACTGATGGGATCTTATGCTGGTTGTGGTTCGGGTCCGGGTTCGGTTCGGTTATACCCGAAAATCCGAATGAACACTCGAAGCAACTGAAATCACCCAAAGCCTTCGACTATGGAAATCATGATTTCCACTTCGACTATGGAAATCCGGTTGAACACCCGACTTTCCCGTTGAATCTCTAATGATATTCTCGG